AATGCTATAGAAACACTTATGTGTACATCGTCAAGGTGCATCCACTGATATATGAAGACTTCGAGTTTAACAGTCTTTTTTTTTTTTTTTTTTGGTGGAACCAGAGATTGAAATCAGGCCCTGCACTTGCCAGGGAAGCACTTATTCCACTGAGCCATCTCCCCTGCCCCGAGTTTATCAGTCTTTATAGCTGAGTAATGCTCCATTGTATAAAAATACCACATCTTTTTCATCCATTCCTCAGGTGATGGGCAACTTGGTTGTTTCCAAGATTTGGCTATCACAAATTGTGCTGCTACATACATAGGTACACATATATCACTGTGATATGATGTTTTCAGTTCTTTTCGGAAAATTCCCAGTAGGGGGAAAACTGACTTGAATGGGATTTCCAGTCCTGGGTTTTTAAAGAGTCTCCACAATGACAAAATATCTACAAACTGCTATACATGGTTTTAGGGTAAATCATGAGTGGATTCTACTGACCTTGTCAGATACAAAAATTATATTTTGTTATATAAATCTTGCTTTATCGTGGTCTTAACCATCCAGCAGAAAAGTATAAACACGAGGTACAAAAAGTAAAGCCATATTAATATGCTGAGCTGTAAAAGGCTCAAGTCAACAACTTCTGACATTGCCAGTCTTATGGAAAACCCACTACTATTATGGACTACTGGACTATATTGGATTATTTTGCTGAATTACCTCATATACAATATTTGTATGGCAATGAAATACAGATCTCTGACAAAACTAAACAAAGAGGGGGGATATAAATGAAGGACCATTTTGTAGTGAAAAATATACATATATATGTATATACAAATTAGTTAAGATAGATATATAGCTACTTTCACTTCAACAAGAAGAAAGATTTGTACTAACAGTATATATACAAGTATAATGTCTACATCTTGTACTACGAATAACTACTACAAAGACAACAATATGCAATGTATTAATTATTATCACTGTCCTACTAACCTGTTTTGAAACTATCTCATTGCTATTTCTCAAAATTAATTTAAAAAAGAAACAAAAATGTGCAAATTCATAATGAATATTAGTGCAGCAAATCTTAGATGTTTTTCACTTCTGAGTGAATATACTTAACTAGAAAATACTAGTACTTTTCTTAACCTTTCTGCCATATTTTTATATACTCCCCAAGTATTAAAGTGTTATTTCTTTACTTGAATCTAGTAAAAGTTGACTCTTTCAAAATTTCAGGTTCTGGTTTTATCCCGGGTTACACCACGGTTCTCCAATGCTGCTCCTCCAATCAATGTGCAAAATACACAAAAAATCAGTCCTTGTTTTACATCCAGCAACATATATTCAGATTCTGAAAGGATTCTTCTTAGTTGGCTGAATACAAATTATGAAAATACTCGACAAACTATATGGGGAAATTGTGAGCAAGGTGAGAAGTTGTTTTTTCTTCAAATAAATTACTGCAATTTGTAATATGACAGTGCAAAATAAATTTTATTTATTTTTTTAAATATTTATTTATTTATTTATTTATTTATTTATTTGTGTGTGTGTGTGTGTGTGTGTGTGTGTGTGGCCAGCTCAGCCCACCAGGGGGCGGGGCTGGCTGGCATATGGTGCTGTGGGATTGAACCGCGGTCCCTGTGCTTTGCTAAGCTTGTTCTAAGTAGGTGCTTTAGACCACTGAGCCATCTCACCAGCCCCAAAAGTGCAAAATAGATCATGAAACCTCCTTTGAATCCATAGATTTTAGATCTAACTCCATAAGTTATTCTCACTTACGCAAAAGAGATATCCTTTCAACAGATTTATGATGAAATATTAATAGGTCATTTTTTACTTTTTGAGAAGAATGACGAAACACATAGAGAGATGCTCTAGAAATGAAATTTGTCCCTAGTATTGTTGCTAGTATTTTTAACTTCATAAGTATTAGGTTTATTTGATATGGATTGGCTCTTGTATGTATGTAGCTGCAATCAAGTGAAATTTTGTAAAACATCACCTTGTATATCATATCAGGGTTATGATATGCAATGGTGCTTCATGAATTCTTTTAGAAGGTATGCTATGTTAGGTCTGTGTGTTCACAGATAGAGCAGTGCGAATATTCAGGTGAGTATTCCTTAATTTTGTACTTGTAGGATGATGTTTTATCAATTTTAATCCAATAATCTTAATCTCATTTTAAAAAATTCTACATGCTAATATACTTATTTTTTATTAGCCATAAACAATGATTACAGTGACAATAACATGCATCATCATTGTTGCTTCAATTAAGCTCTGTTTCCCAGTCAAGGCAAGTGTTTTATCTTTAGAGTAAGTTTTAATGCATAATAACATAATTTCAATAGGCAGCCCTCAGAGTTTAATCCAACCTATAAAACAAATGGAAACATTAAGAGTTTAATTTCATGTGAGAGTGAACTGTAATTGATTTTAACTTAAAGTTGTTATTTTAGAACACCTAGTAACATAAAGATTTAATGATATAATACATTGACTGCTATTTAAGAGCAGTGAGTGTATTCCTTCTAGTAGATATAAAGAAACTGTCAATACCCATGTCTTATTACGGCTTCTTTTCCATTTAAAAATATATAGAACAATGTGTAAACTGGTTATACATGTATAGTTCATTGGTGGAACTTGTCTAGCTGTAAAAGGCACTGGGTTTGATTTAACAAAGACGGAAAGCTAGAAGGAGAAGGGGAAGAAGAAGGGAAAGAGCAAGGACAAGGCAGGGCAAACAAATAGTAATAAGTTTGTCTACATCTATAAACACAAAATCATTTTGTTTATCGTTGTATAACATTTTCATAGTAGTACAATCAAGTATGTACATTTATTAAAACAAGTTGATTTGTTATAAAATTATTATGCTTTCATTTACCTAGAGAATAGTACATGCAATTTAATTTCAAAGAGCTTGCTACTGGAGCCCCCAGGGAGATGGCTCAGCAAAATAAGTGTCTGCATGGCAAACACAAGGACCTGAGTTCAATCCCCAGTTCAAAAAAAGCTTGATATATTTATGAATAAAGTAGTGTAAGAATTTTCTGTTTTCCTACTTTCCTTTCTGTTCATGGGGTTTGAACTCAAAGCCTGCCCACTGAGATACAGCCCTGTCTATTATTTTAAATTATTGAGACAGGGCCTTACTAAATTTCCCACTGTGGACTTGAACTTGAAATGTTAGTGCTTTCACACCTCCCAAAATATTAGGGTTAGGGTAGTGACTAACAACACCCAGATCACTTTCATTCAATCTCCTACTCAAATGCCACTTGTTCTAAGATGCTTTTTTAATATCTTCTCGAAAGTAGCATATAATTCAATCTTTCTCTTTTATGTTGTTGTTTTTTTTTAATAGAACTTTTCCAGCCTAGCATATGTATTTGTTTACCCTCTCTCTTCCAGTGCAATGAGGCTTTCTTTGTAGGTGCATGCTTACCTATTTTATTCATTGTTATATTCCCAGAGCCTAGGACTCTGGCTAGAATATAATAGATATCTACTGATTTATTTTCGTTGCTTCTGTAACAGAATACCTGAGGTTAGTATATTTGTTAGTTAAATATTTATTAGTTAAATAAATAAATGAATAGTGAAACGTGTTGATTTTATAAGTTTTTACTTTAATGTAGTTGAAAATGCATTATCTTACTAGGTTATACTTTCTGGTGCAAATGTGGAAGTAAGGTTGCACAGTTGAGGTAAAAAGATGAGGCATTTCCATGTTTGGCACCAGATGTGAGTACAGGTTTGCATTGTTAGTAAGTGAGGAAGTCTGTGAAGAGAAACTCCTTCTGAAAGACAAGTTATTTATCCCTCATTTTCCTAACATATGCTAACATTTTCCACTTCAACATATTAAGCCTCCTGTATTTCAGAAACCAGATAAGCCTCCAAGAATGTAGAAAAATCACTCAGCTCATTTCTTTGCCTTGTCTTTTCTGAAGAAAAAAAAACTAAACTACATGAAACACATCCCTGTAAAGTACACAGTACAAAAAAGTAAATCAATAGTTTTAAGGGTAAAAAAGACACATGAAAGGAGTTTTTTGTTGAGGTATAAATATATGAGATTATTGAGATTCATTTGAGGTACAAAACTCAGTATACAGTCAGAGGTGAAATATACTTGGGTCCAGTTCAAGTGGCAGCCCAGAATACAAATTTATTAAGTCAATACACAAATATGAAAAGTATATAAGACTTGAAGGGTTGTTTAAATCATATGATGGAGATTAATTACAGAATAATTTCCAACTAATTCAATAGAAATCAAAGAGTTAGAGTCTTAAATAGAGGAACAATTTTCGCTCCTCTAAGAAAAAAATTGTAAGAGGTTTGTAATAGCAAGTTAAGCAATACTTGAATACATGAGTAAATACTGTATAAATGTGGGGATCATGCCAATTCTAGTCATAAAAGAAAAAGAGAAAATCAATGTAGACAAATTGTAAAGCCAGGTCTGTAGGCATTTGGCATTTTCTGGCTGCAGTGTATGAATGATTCAGACTTGGTTGAAATATCTGGTCTGAGTCACTTTATTGGCTGAAAATAAGTGATAGCGTTAATGTAGAGATTGAGGAAGGAAATGTAGATAAAGAAGATTCCTGTCATTGTTACTTTCTTATCATTAAGATAGAATATCCAACAAATAAAATTTATAGGAAGAGGAGGTTTATATTGGTTTAAACTCTACAGTTTGTAGAGGTTTCAGTCCATTGTCAGCTGGCTACAAGGCAGGGCAGCATTACAGAGGGGTATGGCAGAGGAGAGTTGCTCATGGCATGATGGTGAAGCAGAGAGAGATCAAGGGAGGAGGAAAGAGCTACACATTTCCAAATCATACTTCTGTCACAAATGACAAATTCAGACAATACTGATTAGCAAAATTTGAAAACAGTTGGTATATTCCTTTTTTACATTTTATTTTACTTTTTCATAATTTTATTGATAAACAATAGCAATGAGACAGCTTCAAATCAAATCAGTGGGACAGTTTCAATAACTAACACACTGCATATATTCTTCTCAGTGGTTAATTGCTGTACAAGATGCGGACTTGAGATCCTATTTACAAACACCATTAGAACAAATCATTCTATTCATTAAGAGAATGCAACTATATATCTATCCCAACCTCTTTGAATACACAGATACAAAATGGACATTCATCTGTACACTCCTTTTTTTCTAAGTTCTGTTATTTGAATAATATAGGTGTGTAAACTCAGCAAAATATTCTAAAAGAGTCCAGTAGCCTATAATAGCATTGTGTCTTCTGTTTAACTGACAATGTCAGAAATTATTGACCTGAGTCCCCCACAGCTCAACATAAGAGCATGGTTTTACTTCCTATATTTCGTCTTCATACTTTTCTGCTGGATGGTTAAGACCAAGGTAAAACAGGATCTGTGCAACAAGAGTTGCAGCTTTTTGGTCTGAGAAGGTCAGTGAAAT